TTTCAGTGTTTCCAGAGAACCCGGAATCTTGAATTGAATAAACTGTGATCTGGTGAACCAGGGCGGAGTGTAGCACTGACATAGCCGAGAAGCGCTTCTCTGCCTGGGTGCTGTTGCCCTGAATAGCATAACTCCTGAATTCTCAGTCCCAGCATCTCTGAAAAAACTTTTGAGGGCAGAAGGGCCATACAAATGGACTGTAAAGGACTGAGGTTTTGGGGAGAATACCTTCTTTTTAAAAGAGGAGTTAAAACAGCTATTGTTGTGAAGGGGAGGAAAGCTGCTGGTTTGGAGAAGCTACAGGAGCTACAGGTTGCCAGTCTATGGGCTGGGAAGTTAAAGGATGTTCAATTAGAAAAGAATATATGTAGCTTCTGCTTGAACTGTGGAGTCCTTGGTGCTTTGACCCTGGTTGTTTGGTTGCGCTTTGCTTGAAGTCGGGTAATGAAATGTCTGCAAGTAAACAGCCAAGATTCGAAAGCACCAGGGATTCCAAAGGATGTCAAGTTGGGTATTTGAATGGAAAAACTCCAGAGACTACCAATTTTTAAAAAGCCATAGAAAAAGCACTGTCAAACTCTATTAATATGATTGTTAGGAAAACTTGTATAGCTGTGACTATGAAATTTTGCAGATTTTAGGTTTTTTTTAAATTTTATTTTTGCTGTGCAATAGAGGAAAAGCAACTGCACAGAACAGGTTCCTAATCTGGTAATCTTTTTTAAAAATCCAGTTTTTCTATCACTCTCACCTCTTGCAATCAAAATAAATTAACAGCTGCAACTTTGTCTTCCTGCTCAACTGCCTTAGCTACCACAACAAAAGGAATCATGAGATGGCTTGGTAACAAATGCCTCCGCTTGTTTCTTTTTCTATCTTGGCAGTTCCACATGTAGGGTTGGTGATAAAAAAGTTGCATACTCCATTACCTCACTTGTCTGTCTTCCTTGATGTTAGGGCTATGTTTACACAATCCAGTTTTCTATATCATCTGGTATGGAAGGGAAAAAAATGGTAGTTGCTCTTCTTCTAGAAGCCATATTTTATTTCCCATTACTGCAGATGAAGTTCACTTCTTTCTTTCTCCCTAGACAATGCAGCATCGATTATTTTGATATTTAATTGATAAATATTTGATCATTGATTGCATTGTAGCCAATGTCCTTCCCAAAGATAACAATTCAATTCGATCTTTGTTTTTATAACATGAGTAATAAACAATGTTATCTTTTGATTAAAAGTGTTCAATTGCAGTCCGTCTCAAATTGCCAATGTCTAAAATTTGTAGTTGTTTCATTTCAACTTCCATTGTGTTGGGCTTTCTTCTTTTCATGCTCCTTACCTTCCATGCATCTATTATAATTCTGTCTTTCCAGCTTTGGGTTGTCTTTTCCTGAATGGTAACATCAACAACTAGATGGATGTCTAAAAGTTTTTAACCATGTTTTTGACACTATTAGTACAGGTAGTCCTCAACTTACAATAATTAGTTCAATGACAGTTTGAAGCTACAACAGCATTGAAAAAAGTAATTTATGATTGTTTTCACACTTATGACAGTTGCAGCATGGTCATGTGATCAAAATTCAGTGCTCTGGAGTCATGTGATTATCATTTGCAACCTGACAAGCAAAGTCAATGGGGAAGCCAGTTTCACTTTCCGTTTTACTAGCTTAACTCAATGATTCATTTAACAATGATAGTAAGAAAGGTTGTAAAATGGAACAAAACTCATTTGACAGATGTCTCACTTAGCAAAAATTTTGGACTTGGTTGTGGTCATAAGTTGAAGATTACCTATACTCCAGAAGATCTTCAGATATCTCTTAGTAAGCTGAGGGATCCATTATCCTGCTCTATATTATTAATCATTTTATTTTCTACTCCTATATATTTATTCATATTCATTTCTATTCTATTCTTGGTAAAATAAAGGAGTGGTTTACCATTACCTTGTTCTACACTGTATGAATGAATGCTTTTGCCATTGTCACTATAGTGATCATCTGTCTCCAATGTATTCCTATTTTTCTGCTGTCCAATATGAGTACCTGCTTGCTTTATTGGGGAGCTAAATGACCTTCATCCCGTAGGTGACCCTGTTGAGAATTATAACTCTTCACATACACTCCCAGCACACAATAAAGACTTGAGGAGCTATAGAAAATAAAATATGGTAATACACAAGCATGTGTTTCAATTGCCATCAAACAGCAAGGGCAATCACATTCATATTGAGGAAGTTTGATAAATCTTTTATCAGTGGGAGCACTGATAGTAATACACTATGATATATCTGAAAGAAATCTTTCCCGTCTTGGAAAGGTGAGAGATGTTAGGTATTTGGCCAGCATTATTTTGGTCCCCAGTTTTTTACAGTGAATAAAAACAAAAGATGCTAATTACTCATCTGAATTCTGTTGGTCTCATTAAGTGGGATATAAGAAAAGGGTTAAAAACAAAAATGGATTGTAGTATCTTCATGTACTCTGTGGAAATATATTATTGCATCAAATTAGTATTTAAATAATGGTTCTTTACCAACTTTGTTGAACTGCCCATTTGACAAAAAGTGACTCGGCAGCATACAACAGCTGAATAAAATAAATATAAAAACAAATGTAAAAATAAATGTAAAAATATAAAAATCCATCTTAGAGTTAAACATTATAAAAATGAATATACATATTTGTATATATTTCTCTACTATAGGACGATCCTGTTTTGATTCGTCATTTTAAAGGCCACAAAGATGCAGTCACTTGTGTTGCTTTCAGTCCAAATACTAAAGTGCTTGGTAAGTCCACCTGAAGCATACCTGAAAATGTTAATTCTGTGAATGAACTCATAGTGTTCTCTCTATAGATGAAAAACAAAGGTAAGTACGCTAGTTGCTGAACTCCATACTTTAGGACAATTATAACTCCAAGGTAAGAGTTACGTTGCCACAGAATGCTGCCACAGATGATTATTTTAATCTGTAAGTATCCAGCTCTTTGGTATTGAAGATAGGTTTAATATAAATAGGTTCTAGAATAAATATATTGAACTATATTAATGTTGCTTAATGTAGCAGAATATATTCTAGAATGAAAGCAGTTATGGAAATGTATAGGTAGAACCTTACCCTCTAATGTTATAGTTGTCAATAGAATCAATTAAAGGGATATAAGAGGTAGGTCTTGCCTTGGACAGATGTATCAGTTTTCCACAGGTAGTAAAAGTTGTTTTCCTTTAAACATTCATGCATTCATGTCTGATTCTCAGAGAACGCTTGGACAAGTCCCTGCAATATTCTGGGTTTTTAGAGGTAGTTTGCCACTACCTCCTTCCCAGGACTAAGAGAGTAACGGGCCAAGATCATCCAGCTGGCTTTGTGCCTAAGACTGGACAAGAGCTCATGATTTCCCTTTTTCTATTTATTAGGATATAATTATTATATTAGGATAATTATTAGGATATAATAATACTTCCTAAAGTTTTTCTCATAATACATCCTAAATATGATGTTCTGACGCTCAGATTTTAATCATTTGGTATTTGCCAATGTAAATTCAGCAAGACATGACAGACAGACAGACACCGATTACACTTTTTTTCATTATTCTATTTTCAATATAAACAATATTACAGGTAGCCCTTGTTTAATGACTCTGATAGGGACCAGAGGTTCCATCACTAAGTGAATGGTCATTAGGCAAAATATCATGTGCTCGCAATGCTTAGCAATGGGAATTACAGTAGTCCTAGCTGCAGCGGAATGGGACATTTAGACACAGATCTTGGCCATGCCTTCTTCATCCCCAGCCACCTGCCTCAGCCCATTTACAACCAGCTTTCCTCCACCACTGGCCCTCCCCTAGCCAATGGGTCCCTGTCCCTTTTTCCCTGCCCATTTGCTCAAACATCATTTGACCAGGGCCTTTGGCTGCATGGAACAAATAACCCCCAGCCAATTGAGTGGCAGGCAGAAGCAATGATGCTGTAGGGGCAGTGTGCAATGCAAGGTTTTTTTTAAAAAAAGTACTGCAGCTGCTCCACAAGTTTTGAGGTCTCGCAGAGGAGGACTGGAGGCAGGAGTAGCAGCCGTCGGGGCCATTGGGGGGAGGGGCAGACAGGTGGGAGTGTTTTAGGGAACAAGAACGGAGGGAGGGGCAACTTAAGGGGACTTCACAAAGACAGCTTGGCTTGCTCTAACGAAGAGGGGAGGAGCAGCAAGGCCAGTGTGTCTTCTAGCTTTGCAGGGGGCTGGGGGGGCGTGTCACGCAGGCGAACGGCAAGATCGGTGCTGCTTCTGGCGTTGTGGGGGTGCTGGGGGTCACACAGGCTCAAGTCAAACTGTTTGAACTAATAGGTAGGGATGAAGGTCCAGAGTCCATTGGCCATGGAGAATGGCCAGGGGGAGAGCAGCAGAGGAGGAAAGCTGGCTGTAAATGGGCTGATGCAGGTGGTTGGAGGTGAAGGAGGTTGGCCAAGGGTCTGAGTCTAAACGCCCTCAACCCAGTTGCAGTCATTAAGCAAAGACCTCATGCTTTTCCTTCTCTGCCATACATGCCTCCACCTCCCACTCTTAATTATTTCCACCCATTTTTGATCTTTTGGCCATCCTGCACTCATAACCTACTCCCTTGATGGCCCCAGTCACTTTTGCGATCTTCTTCCCCCTGCTACTGATAAGGTGTCTCCAGCAGAGGCAGCTGGAGGCAGCCCTTTATGAGGCCTTATAACTAACAAAATCAAAAGCATTATAAATAATGGAAGGACTTTATGCCCTATAAATAATGTGGGATGTTTCTGGGCAAGATTACTTAAGAAGTTTCAGGGAAGACAATCAGTTCTCAGTTTGGAAATAGGTAGACTAAGTGGAAAAATAACAATTGATGTGCTGATATGTCATATTTCTACATCAGTTCACTTTTGTTTTGTAGCTTTATGATTCCTTCTTTTCCAGCCACCTCTTCTCTGGACAGGTTTCTCATGATGTGGAATTTGAGGCCAAATACAAAAGCCTTCAGATTTGTCGGTCATTTAGAAGCCGTAACTAGTGTAGAGTTTTCACCAGATGGATACTTGTTGGCATCTGCTTCTGAAGACCGAACCGCCAGACTATGGATTCCTTGCATGTCAGTAGCATTGGTTCTATTTATTTATTTCAGTTATACTTATTTTACATATAAGCGGCTTAGGGCAATTTGATACTTTCTCTAGTAGAAGGAAGCTAAATCAGCTAAACACTAATTTAAAGAAGAAACTCCTAATGTGATTCTGGAAAATATTTTCCCTAGCTGTCTATTTTATGTAAATGTCTGGATCAAGAAGTGATAAAATATCCTCTGTTAACCCCATAAGTCAGAATGTATGAGGCTTTAGTGCAGGGGAGCTTGTTTAATGTTTGTGGGTTAAGGATTTTAGCAGATAAGATGATGAAATTCCCAGACTTGTATTTTTTGAAATTTTGAGGCAATTTTTCCAATATAGTCAATGTTTGCAATACACATTTTTTTAAAAAAAATGTTCATGCCTCAAAACTGAAGAAATCCATATTGCCAAAGTTTGGTAGCATATTTGGAAAAGAGTCTCTAAAGAGAGGAAATAGAGGTAGTCTTCACTTAACGACAAGTTACAAAAGACTTTTAAAAAACTACTTATGATCATCCTCAAAGTTAAGGCTGCCATACTCTCCCTTCCCTGTGGTCATATGATCTCATTTTGGATGCTTGGCTTGCATTTACAACTAATTGCAATGTCCTGCATGACTGATTTGTAATGATTGTTGCTGTTCTCTTGCAGAAAATGGCAAAAAAAAAAAACACCCTATTAGATATGCTGGATTTGTTTTCCAATCACATGATTCACTTAGTGAGTACACTGATTCATTTTACAGCCATTGTAAAAATGGTCATAAAATCTAATCCAGTCACGTGGTGCCTTGAATTAACAACAGCAGTTAGTTATAACTGAAATTCCGTGTGCCATTATGTTTGCATGTTCACAACTACCTATATGTTTTTAAGCAATAGCATTTTATTAGACCATGCCTAAGCTTCTCATCTTAAAGCAATTGATACAACACTAATATTATTAATTACATTATTTGTGAAAGACTTCTATGATTGTTCACAGAAACATACCATATCAAACATGAAATAAAGGTCTTTCATTTGGGAACGCACCACAGTAAACTAGATAGATTGAGGATGGAATCTGTATTATTTTAAACTCTTATGATTAGTTTCTGCTAAAACATTTTTTTTTTATTTCTTTATAGCCATGGCGAATCAACATCATTAAAGGGCCATACTGCCCCAGTCCGCAGTGTGAATTTCTCAAATGACAGTCAATTTCTAGTCACTGCATCTAATGATAAGTCAGTGAAAGTGTGGACCATTTACAGGCAACATCTTTTGTATTCTTTATCCCAGCATACACACTGGGTGCGTTGTGCAAAGTAAGTTTTTTAATTCATTACCTTCCTAAAGATAACTGCTTTTCTGAATGACCTCAAAATATATAGCGAAGATATGGGTGCAGCATCCCTGCTGAAGCTAATAGGATTATACCTAGAAATGGCTCTGTAGAATATTGTCTGGGAGTCCTGTAATCAGTGCCCTGAATTCTAACATGGGAAAAAAGTTGGATGCAAATTCACAAATACTTGTCATAGATTGAAGTTATCCCAAAATAAACAGGTAATGCGAGCAAAAAGTGTATTTATTTATTACATAGATGTACTGGTATATGGCCACCCATGTGGGTAACATAAAATCAAAAATATGCCATATAAACAATTAAAAATGATTAAGACAATAAAAACAAAACCACAACAATGAGAATACTACACATAATACAGTCAACATGCATACTCCCTATTACCACAGGATTCGCAGGCTTGTTCAAATGAACACACTTAAAGATTTTCTGGAAAGCCATGAGAGTTGGAGCTCACCTAATATCAGGAGGGATGATGTTCCAGAGAGTGAGAAAAGGCTTGCCTCCTAAGTCCTGTCAGATTGAGCTGTTTTGCAGATGGGATCTGCAGCACGCTTCTCCTTCCGGACTTGATCAGACAAGGAGATGTAATCAGGAAGAGGCAATCCCTCAGATAATCTTGTTGCAAAAATCAAAAAATCTTGTTTAAAAATCAAAACAAACACTTTGAATTGGATCCTGAAGCAGACTGGTGCAGGTCACAAAGCAGAGCCTGTGTCTTAAGAGTACACATAATTATGGGCGCCAATGCATTTTGCACAAGCTTTCAAATATTTTTCAAGGGTGGCCACATGTAGAGCGCATTACAATAGTCTAAATGGGAGGTGACTAGAGCATGAGTATTTTGTGCTTATGACCTCTAGCTATTTTCGGAATATTCATGAATGGTAGTCGCATTAACCAGTTGAATATGAACTCCTGAATGCTTGTATACTTTATTATCACAAATTTTATAATTGCAGATCATTTAAATATTATTTGTAATTATCTTCTCCCTTTATTTTTTTTTCCTTTCTAGATATTCACCAGATGGAAGATTAATAGTGTCTTGCAGTGAAGATAAAACTGTTAAAATCTGGGATATAAGAAACAAAATCTGTATTAATAATATAATAGATTATGATGGGTAAGTCATATTCATTTAAAAACAAAGGAAAATATTTTATTGATAATTATAGTTATATCAGCAGGTATTAGTTATGCTAAAATTATGTTGTGACTCACAAAAACTAAACTGCTAGTTATTTTTATTTTGATTGTCTTAAGGCTATCTTGTTACTCAGATTTTCCAACTTGTGACCAGGACTTCCTATAAACACCATGCAACAGTTCCATTTAAATAGTCCAGGAAGCTTTCCAAATATCTCCTTCAGTCCACTTTGTAGGTTTAATCATATATCTTAACATTCTAAAGTTGCTTTACATTATTAACATTCTAAAGTTGGTATCTTCATTGTTCTCACAGTTGAGTCTCCAGTAGTCATAAAGTAATTATAGAACACTAGGTATCACCACAGTCCTCCAGATAAATTTTTATTTCTCTTATCAGAAATTTTCCCAGACTTGTAGGGGTATGGTATATTTTCCATTCATCAGTAGGTGGCATCCTCAGCTTAGATTTCAACATTGTTTCAAATCTGACAAGCATTTAATTTTAATTTGATTTATGAAAGCAATCAGTTATTCAAAAAGATAATTCCAGCATTTTAAAATGCCTTTCCCAAACAGCACCTATCCGGTTTAAAAGTCCCATTTTCTATGTTTTAAAAAGTTTTTTACTTTTCTCCCCTTGGTTCTTTTCTTTCAGGTCTGGAATTTTTCTCTATGTAATTATTCACCACTTTAACAAATAGTTCAGAGAGCCTCTTTTCCTGGATTTTCTTTTTTTTTTCTTTTTAGGGTTAGGTTCTAGGTAAAAAAGGAATAATCTCACCCAGTTCCAGTCACTGTTCATTTACACCGCTCCTCCACTTTCTTTGTTGCCTCGGCTGTCCCAGCTTCATGGCAGCCATAATGGCTGCCTCTTCTCCTCGTTGTGGATGAGAGAGAAGAAGCCCTGGGTCGAGTGGAAGAGTTGCAGCTCTTTGCGACCTGCATGGCACTCCTTTTTTTCACTACCCCTACAGGGGAGAACTTGGCGCAGGAGCGTGGAGACCCACTCCTCACGTCTGATCTCACCACAATGTCAACCGGAGGTCCAGCTTCTTATATCTTGAGCTGTGGTGGCGCAGTGGTTAAAATGCAGTACTACAGTCTACTTCTGCTGACTGCCAGCTGCCAGCAGTTTGGCAGTTCGAGTCTTACCAGATCAAGGTTGACTTAGCTTTCCGTCCTTCCAAGGAGGATAAAATAAGAACCCAGATTGTTGGGGGCAATATGCTGACTCTGTAAACGTCTTAGAGAGGGTTGTAAAGCATTGTGAAGCTTTACAAGTATATACATCTAAGTGCTATCTTGTGTCTAATTGCTATCTTGAGATCCTTTCTTACCATTTCTCCAATTAAGGCTGATAGGAATTGTAATTCAAAATTATCTAGAAGGACTAGGCTTGAAAACATGTTCTAGCTATATTACTCTTTCCATTTAGTAAATATCTATGGTACAAATCTATGGTCAAAGGATTGTCTCTTTTCATATATAATTGCTATCTTACAGACAAGATGGAGAGAATTTGGCAAGTGGGATCCAAACTGAAATACTATTTAATAATAAAGATATTGGCATATCTCAGGGTGACTTATTTTACGCAAATGTTGGGAAAATAGAATGTACTGCTTATGTGGGAAAGACACCTTAAGAATTTGTTGACATAAACAGATGACCTGCTTCCTTTACAATAACAACCATTATTTTTAATTTTCTTTATAGGTTTGCAAACTATGTAGATTTTAATCCTGATGGTACATGTATAGTTTCTGCTGGTTCTGATCACACAGTGAAGTTTTGGGACATTCGAATAAACAGATTACTGCAGCGTTATAAAGGTAAACGTTTATGCAACACAACTTGATTAGCCTCTCTTTTGTATAACTGCAGAACAAATACTCATAGTAGAGGTCTTAGTAATTAAAAGTAAAATCCAGCATAGAAATAAATATATTTCTAAATATTCTAATTATAATTTTTTCTCTGCTTAAATTACTGTTTTTAAACTTATTTCTTGCCCTGATCATATTTTATACCAGCATACTCTAATAAAATAGAAACCTATTCCAAAGTGCCAATCAAGCATTTTGAGAATATAATACTGTGTAAATGCCAATAGTATTTTAAAAATGATGTATTCAATTACATATATGTTTTGTAAGTATGTATAATAATTAAAAGTATAGGTTGTTGCTTCAAAGCTATATGATATACATTATATACCTAACAGCAAATTTTGTCTTTCAAACATTTTGAAAAAGCTAGTTCATAAGGTAATCTGGGCCCCTAGACTATATAATACTAAAAATATTTCATTCATCGTCTATAACTTTCTGAACCCATTTTAATATATTGACATTTGTCTGTGAGGCACTAAATTCTTAAAAGAATCACTTCTCTAAATATGGCCAATTTGTGCATTAAGTTCTGCTGAGAACTATTTTCCTATTGATGGGTGATTCAGTGTGATATCAAGGGGTAAGGTCTTAATAATAGGAACTTATATGGAACTATCTCATGAAAAGCATTTAACTCTTCCATAGAAAACAGAGGAAGGCACACTTGTTCTTGTAGACATGTATTAGTTAACAATTACTCCAGTGTAAGACTATATCTCAGTTTATGTATTATTTTGATTTGTTATTTTTAAAAGAATTTTGTTTTAGTGCTTGTATTTATTCTGTTGTATTTATTCTTAAACATTGTTGACTTCATTGCAATTATTTTACATAAAACTATGGTACTTTCTTGTAAACTGCTCTGAAAAACTGCTATACAAATGTGTATGGTTGTGGATGTAGATAAATCCTAAACAAAGATCATAGTCTAAAAATACTGCTTCTGTTTGTAATGGAAACAATTACCGTATTTATCGGCGTATAACACGCACAGGCGTATAACACGCATCTTCATTTTAAGAGGGAAATTTCACCCCCACTCCCACCCCGCGCGCGCGCTTCAATCCACAGTGTCCCATTCTGCCTGCCTGCCTGCCTGCCTTAGTTTCTGGTTGTTTGGGAGCAGCTTCGGCTGAGAATAATAACTATTCGCCTCTTTTACTCAGCCGAAGCTGTTCCGATTCAACCATTAACGAAGGCAGGCAGGCAGGCAGAACGGAGCACTGCGGGCGGGCGGGCGGGCTGGGGGTGGGGGAGAAACGGGCGCTTCAGGGAAGCTGCGGCGACAGGAAAAGCCCCCCCCCCGCTTCTTTGAAGCAGTTTCTTCCTGTGCTGGTGGAGGAGCGAGAGAGCGACTGAGAGAGCTGACCCAGAGAGAAGGACAGGCTTCGGTTGCTTCCTCCCTCCCCTTCTTTCATTTGTGTCCTTGATCCCCGATCCCAGCAGCATTCACCGAAGGCTTCTTAACATTATATCGGCGTATAACACGCATACATCATTTGCCCCCTATTTTCAGGGGGGGAAAAGTGCGTGTTATACGCCGATAAATACGGTAGTTGGGATATGTCCATCCAGTTTAGATCATTCAAAACTTTTAATAATTAGAATACTATTGGTATAGATTCTGTGATCAAAATCTATACACATTGGAAATTAATAAATTGTTTGAATTGGGATAAAATTCAGGTGAATATGTTTGTAGACACTTCATAGATGTTACTTAAACTTGTCATTTATTCATATCCCAAATGCAATGTTCATTCTCTGTACAGTTGTCATACATACAGTCTTAGAAAGAAAATAGAAATGTTAGAAATAGCTAACTAATATCAACAACATCGTACGTCCTTTTCATAGTCTGAAATGCTATTTAGTCTGTATATTGGTAATGATTGTTTTAGAAAATATCGAAATAAGGTATGGTATTTTGTAGATTTAAAGATAAATTTATACTGCAGTACATCTCATTAAAACATAATGGTAGTAGTATTTAAAACCACAGGATGGCAGTAGAATCACATACCTTTAGTCAAATAGTCATATTCTGCCTTCAACCTCCTAGAACAAAGAGGTAATGATTTAATAAATCATTAAGTTTTTCATGTTTTGTTTTTGGATTTGTTGGTTACAGACATTCTAAAGATTAGTCTTATAATTTTAGTATTGAAAGACTAATTCTTGAATCAATAATCTTTCCCTTTGGGGACGAAGGTCCAATTCTTTCTAAAGTTGAAAAGCCTTCCTTCACTTTCATTTTATTTTTATTATAGAAGAAATTGTCCTTTCTCCCAAATATTCCCTGTTTTCTTCAAAATAATGATTACTCATTTTAACCTGTTCCTGCATATGTAGGGTTTGTGTGATGGATCCTAAATTTCAAAGATATTGTAGCTCTGAGGTGAAACAAGTTTTATAAAACACTTTGTATCTTTTGTATACATTGAAATCAAAGTTGGAAGAACATTTAAATCTTTAGGTACTAACTTTCTTATGTCCTCTTGAGGTATTCTGTTGTAGTTGTGCTTTTGTATCTTCTTTTTTAGGAACTCGCACCCATTTTTAGCTTTTTTTCCCCCTTTCTTCTGCCCGTGGAATTCCTCTTATGACTGCCTTGAATGCATTAAAATCTTTTTTAAGAAATCCAATATTTGAATAGATTCACTTTTAGTGTTTAAAATCAAGAACTGCATCATTATGTAATCACTTTCACCCAGTACTCTAGCTACTTTTATTTTACTGTGCAAATTGCCCATTCTTCATCTAAAAGGTTTCAGTGTATGTATTTTTCAGTTAATGAGGCCGCAAATGCTTGGGGGTTGGATCTTTTCATATGCATCAGAAAATCTCATATTTCTCTTCCAATCACAACAGTACCTGCTTTTGTACAGGTTTTTTCTCTCTTGGAAACTATGTTGACTTTTCTTTTACAAACTTTGAAGTTTCCTTGGCAGCCATCTCCATTTCTCACTTTATTTTTCAATTTTCTCTAGTATTAAATGAATTCTTAATTTTTATAACCTGTCTTGGGCTAGGGAGTGGCTTAAATGCTAAGCAAAAAAAAAAAGTATAAGCCTATGCCGCTGAGACTGTCTTATGTGTCTGAGGTCTGATTATGCAAGAATTTTGAACACTTAGTTAATATTCCAAGACTACTTCCTTATATCCTGGATTCTAAAGTTCTGCTTGGTAGAAACAGAGGATTACTTAAATAGCTATGTGTTCAGATTGGTGTACATTCTGAGGCTCAGGTTTGTACCTCCGTTCTTAAATGTTGGTGGGATGTTGATAATTCCTGCAATGTGTACAATAAAGAACAGCAGTGTATAATGGAATGAATTTGTCTTTTTCCAAATCAAAATCTATCAAATGATCTAGAATTTAAATATTAAAATAGCTGACTAGTAAAGAAGAATAATGAAGAAGAACAGGAAAACTAGTATTTAAGTCTGCTTATTTAAATGTAAGGAAAATGTCACATAGCAGTACAAAATAATAGCAACGAAAATAAGCTGTTGTAGGAACTCATAGATAATACAGATGGGAAAATTGAATTCAGAATACCCCTTTATGAATGTAATCAATTACAGAGCCCTTGATCTGTAACTAGTTATGGGACATTCCAAACTCAAAAGCATTTCACATCCCTGTAAAGGATAACATTGAAGGAGAATGATAGAGACAATGATGTAAAACCCTGTGCGCCATATCCTGGTGGTAAACTTTATTGTTATTATTCTCAGTAATATAATTAAGTTTGTGTGTTGGTCAACAATGTTATTATGTGTTGTTTTGTTTTGGAAGTTTTCTTCTTTGCATCAATATCTGAACGACTTTTATTTAAATTAGTTCACAGGGGAAGTGTTAATTACACATCTTTCCATCCTTCTGGGAACTTTCTCATAACAGCATCTAATGATGGAACTCTTAAGATTATGGATCTTATAGAAGGAAGACTCTTATACACACTTCATGGGCATGAGGTGCAATCTCTATTTTGGGACTTGCTTTTATATCTTGTTATTTTCATCATAAAAAATAATTTATATGCATAGAATGATAAAGTTACTGTAATGAAACCTGTGTCAATTATACTGTAGCTATATCAAATTATCCTAATTTGGACACCTTATACAAAGACCCAACTTTATATATGATTCCTAGAAGTCAAAAAACAACTTAATGGCACATAATCAGTTAAAATATCATTTGGACAAATATTGTATCCATAAAATGCCAATTAATGTAGTCTGTTTCATCACCTAAATATATTTAGTGATTACTAGTATGTGTTACTTGTTTATTAGCAATTTAGGAATGATTAAATAAAAAGAAGGGAGAAAGTATTAAAGAAACAAAACATGATGCCTTTTAAAAATATATTATCTTGTTCCCCTCTGTCCTTTTTAAAAAAATTAGGGTCCTGTGCTTTCTGTAGCTTTTTCAAAAGATGGAGAGACATTCGCTTCCGGTGGCACAGATACACAGGTTTGTTAAAATAGTTAAATTCTTAACTATTTTAATTTAATTTTATTTTATTTTATTTATTTTTTAATTTATTTTTTAATTTATTTATTTATTTATTTAGTCAGTCAAGCATTCATTTGATAATATATATAAGTATAAACATGATTATTAATACATTAAATAGATATGAATAAAAGAGAACATTAAGACAGGGATGGTAGGCACGTTGGTGCGCTTATGCATGCCCCTTATAGACCTCTTAGGAATGGGGTGAGGTCAACAGTAGACAGTCTGAGGTTAAAATGTTTGGGGTTAGTGGAAGAAACCACAGAGTCAGGTAGAGTATTCAGGCATTGACCACTCTGTTGTTGAAGTCTTACTTCCTGCAATCGAGTTTTGTGCAGCTTATCCTGAGTTTGTATCCATTGTGTGCTTGTGTATTGTTGAGGTTGAAGCTAAAGTAGTCATTGACGGGTAGGACATTGGAATGGATAATTTTATGTACTGCACTTAGGTCAGACCGAAGGTGATGTAGTTCTAAGTTATCTAAGCCTAAAATTTCAAATCTGGAGGCATAGGGTATTCTGTTGTGAGTAGAGGAATGGAGGACTCTTCAGTTTTGATTCTAGACAGATGAGCTGTATTCAAGAATTGGTCTAGCAAATGTTTTGTATGCTCTAGTTGTACAATATTACTGGAGAAAAAGCTTTGCAGGATTAGGTTAACAACTTAATGCCTTTTTGGCTATGTAGTTACAGTGGGGTCTAGCACCTAGATCATCAGAGATAATATCAACATAATGTCTTATATATAATATAATATATAATAGTGTATATAATAGTGTATAAGAGATAATAATGAACTAAATACCACCATTCTTAGTAAGTACACTAAATAAATATTTTATTATCAAATTTAGAGGAATATATATTTTAAGTATGTGTTGATTATAAAATTGTCTGATTTTTTTGTCAGCAAATTTTTCCTTTAATTAAATTATACTGTGTGTCTTACTGCTTTAGTATAAACTGGATATTCAGTTAAATGCTTAATTACCAAATGAAAAGGCTGCATTCATGAAACATTAGTAAATTTCTTACAGGTGCTTCTCTGGAAGACAAATTTTGATTCATGTGAATATAAGAAAGTTCTTGAAAAGCATATGCAAAGATTACATAGTGATGATCCACCTCACCTTCTGGATATATACCCTCGGTCACCTCATTGCCACGATGCAAAATCACAGTCAGTTGAGGTAAACTGTTATGGCTTTTAATAACAAATTATTCGGTACAACCGAGATCTATAATTTTTCGGTATAGATATTTCTTTAGTAATATTGACTGAACTTTTGATTATGTTTTTCCAGAGTTTTCCATTAATTTTCTTCTCTATCATCCACAGTTTTTATTCTTTCTCCTAAAACTGGGAATTTTATACTCAGAGAATGTAGAATTTCTCATTGCATCGCTTTTCTCTAAATCTTTTTTTAAAAGGACTTTCCATGCTGGTTATAGAGCATAGTTATCGAGTTATTTGGGGCGGGGGGGTAGAGGGTTGGCTGCCTATTTTAAAATTCAGTAGTTTTTTATTGAGATGATAGGTTGGTGAATAATGGAAACTCTGACTTTAAAGCCTCAAAGCTTCCTTTCTCTCACTTCTTCCTAATTACCATTAATACACAGGAAACCATATTCTAAATAGGCAAGCCAATAAGAATGACAGAAAAGCAGGACAACTAGATTCTAATATGAGTTCATGTTTGAGCATATTCAATGGCAATAAAAGCAGTAAACATTTCTTTATGTTTAATGTGTGTGTGCATTCCTACCTCATGACCCTGTTCAGAGTAACATGGCCCTTTTATGAGAAGGGACACAATGATTTTGTGAATTTCCTTGTAGATAAAGTTGCTTATAACTGCTATTGCCTGAATGTCAATTTGATAGAGCAATGTTGGCTGAGCAACTTCAAGTGTCCAGTTGAGTCTGTGAAACATAAAGAAGACAGAGTCTTCTATACCATGATTTCTGCCACCTGTGAATTAAAGTCATGTCCCTCCAGTCCTGCAATGATCAGGAATGACATGTGCCACTGGATTTGAAAGGTGCCAAATATCTCTTTGAGGGGGATATTATGCTCTTGACCTTGAAACACTTAGTGTGCACTCTAAAAGGCCACCCCTCAACATAGCCATGTTGACAGTTATCACCCTGTTTAGGAAAGGTTGAGAATAAAGGAGAAACTTAACTATGGAGTAACAGGCGGTATAGTTCATATAATGTTAATATGGACTCCATATATAAGGGATGTACATGTTTTACATAGTATTTTATGTTTTTATTACAGCTTTAACACACTAGATGGCGCTAATGTTTAAGAATATTCTGTTGAATGGGAACCATCCTTATATATTACAGGATTTTTTAGGATCAGTTCACTTTTAAATATAGAAAGTGCTATTTTATGTTACATAACTTTAATACAATAAGAACAATGAATGCGTTGATAAAGAACATTTTATAGGAATTGAACTTTTCAATTACATCGTTTATATAATGCTCCCATGGTGTTATATTCAATATGATCACACAGAAAAGAAAGTTGAAGTATTTGGAAACTTCAGCTTATACACAAAATATCTGTTTTCTTTCTGTCAGGAAGGTGAGAGCCTATTTTAATTTATTTAGCAACTATTGCAATAGATTCCACTTAGTTTCTATGCCAATTGAAATTATCATATTGTTTTTTAAAATTCTTCACGAAACCATTGCTATTTCATTGTCTGCTGGGATCTACTTATCAAGCCCCAGCTATAGTGCCATCCATCAAAGTAAAAAAAAATTACCACAGTACATGCTTAAAGTCAGATTTTATTTATTTGTTTGTAAAGTTTATAAGCCATCCATCACTCTCAAGGTAATTTTAATTTTAGAAGCTTTAATGTACAAAGGATATTTTTAACGTGGAGTCTTTAGTGCTCTTTAAGCTTGATTTTGCTTGCAGATATTTCATTACCCAGGTAAATAATATCATCAGTGTGAGTGAGTGTGAGGTTTGCTCCTTGTTTATATACAGTAGCTTACCCTTGCCAATTTTGATGCAGGGTGGGTTTCACCATGCCTAGTTCCTTGATTTGGGTATTGTATTTTGCCTGATCGTTTTTCTGGTGTTAATCCCTGTTTGTTTAGTAGTGTGATGGTTCAGTGGTTAAAGATGCTGAGCTTGTCAACTGGAAAGGTGACACCCTGGGTTCGAGTCCTGAGCGCCGCACAATGGCATGACCTCCCATTACTTGTCCCAGTTTCTGCCCACCTAACAGTATACAAATGTGGTAAATAGGTGGGAAGGTAACAGCATTTCATGCGCCTTCACATATAATTGTATGGCATATAATCATGCTGGCCACATCCCATGAAAATGTTTTCGGGCAACACTGGCTCCTTTGGCTAAGCAATGGAGATGAAATAAAATATGAGATGAGATAAGAGATAAGGTAGGACACAACTGGAAAGAGGAAGTCTTTACCTTTATCTTAATCCCTGTTTAGGTGTTGGTGCTGGAGAGGATGTTTTTGGGTTTTTTGTTTCCTTCTTAGCTTTTTTTATTGTCTCTTTTGAATATAGCAGAAGTATGGTTTTTTTATATGTATTCAGCATGTCTGATACATCTGAATTCTAGGCTTCCAGGAATTCCCTAAAATTCTTTGAATTTAGCTTGGTTAAGGATGGTCAGTTTCCCAATTGAAACTCTGGATGTGTCCATATAGCTGTAAAAGATTTTTAATGTCATGGTGTCGACTATTTTGAATCAATTTGTGTTTTAGATGTATTTTAGTGAATTTTAGCATTCTTCATTATTTATTTATTTATTTATTTATTTATTTATTATTTATTTATTATTGAATTTATATTGTTGCCTGTTTGCCCATGGTGACTCAAGGCGGCTTACAGAATATAAAACTATATTTAAAACAATAAAAACTAACAAAAAAAATCAAATAAATTAATAAAGTACAATATAACAAAATCATCCCCCAACTCTCACCCTCCCTCCCCGACGATAGCAGATCACATGAGCCATTTAATGGGCTCCATCCCGCTCTGGGTTCCCCAGGCCCACTGGCAGAACCAGGTCTTCAGCGCCTTCTGGAAGAGTATTAGAGTGGAGGCCATTGTAATGATGTTCCAGAGTGAGGGAGCCACCATGGAGAAGCCCTTCTTCTGGGTCCCACCAGGTGTATCTCCCTCAGGGATGGGACCTGCAATTCCCTGCCTCCCCGCTCTGATGGGTCGGGTAAATGTGACAGGCAAGAGAAATCTCTCAGATTACCTGGTCCCAAGCCATGAAGGGCTTTAAAGGTGACAATCAGCACCTTGAATTGCACCCAGAAGCAAATCAGCAACCAATGCAGCTCCTGCAGAAGAGGTAATACATGTGCACACTGGGGTCTGCACAAAACCATGCAGGCCGCTGCATTTTGCACCAACTGGAGCTTCCAGATGCTTTTCAAGGGAAGCCCATGTAGAACGCATTGCAATAATGAAGACCGGAAGTGACTAAGGCATGAGTGACTATGAGTAGAGACTGTTGGTTCAGGAAAGGCTGTAACTGGTGCACAACCTTTAGTTGCACAAAGACCCTTCTGGCCACAACCACTATCTGTTCTTCAAGCAGGAGTCGTGAGTCCAGGAAAACCCCTAGATTACACACAACATCTATTTGGGGTAGTGCCACCCCATCCAAGACCAATATTATATTTTTATGAGGGTAGTAAGGGCAATATTTTTTACATTAATAATTTGGACATGCTTCATAAAATTTTACTTCTGCTCTACATGCAGCACAATGTATCCCACTTCTTTTTATGGAATTCCTGACCTGTTTTCTAGGGTTTCCTAGAGAACAGCTCTTGTTTTAGGGTTTTGTCAATGCAATGCAACAAGGTTTTCTATTACATTGACATTATAGACATCTGTTTTAACCACTGTTAGGCAGGGTTTTTTTAAATTATCAATTTATCTAAGAAAGGAGCAGTTAAACTAATACTTCACATGTTTTAAATGAAAATTCCCAGAAGCTATAAAGATAATTGAAATCAAAATATAATGAGGTAGCCAATTGACTCATCAGAGAACATGACATTAAACAAATTTCACCCTTACTCTTGAGGAAAAAGCAAAATAAACAATATAATCTGTAAGAAAAAAGTAAGGAACCTCTTGTGAATATGATTTCTTTCCTAAATATATACTGAATATTTTTTCTTAAATATTTAAATAGCTCATGTATATTTTAAGCATTCAATAATAGAATAATAGCAAATCTATTTTTCAACAGATAAATCCCAACTTTGATGTAACAAATATGCAGATATTAGATCCTCCTGTTGTAAATATTGTTTCATCACCTACTTTTCCTCCATCATGGCAGGTAAGTTTCAAGTTATATCAAATCAGTACAAGTTAAGATGCGTATATGGCCTCTGTGTCTGACAATTTCCTTTCTTAGTTGAAATAAAATTATGAAAGAATCATGAATTAAGTTTTATGAGTTATTTATAACTACCAAAAAGCACTTTTTAAATCATAAATTTTTATATGCCAATATTGTGATTCTATTTTATTTCTCAGTAAACTTCAGATATAAACTATCTCATAGTCTATCAGAAGTGGATAAGGAAACTGAGAATTGTAGCAGGAGGCAGTCTGTGCAGACATTCCCACTCCAGTTACATAGAAACGTGCCTACATGCAGAGTAACATTTCTTCTGCTACTGATAATGAAAATATGATATTTTTAATCACTGATATATGTTAGTTTAAAAGCACCTAAGTGGTTGTGGTAAAATATAGCAGGAAGGAAGTGAAACGCTTCAGGATCTAAAACAATGTGGGGTTTTGTTTTGTTTTTGAATGAATAAATTACAGCCACTCATCATTTAGTAATTATTTTCATGAGCTCCTTCACAAATACGATGGTTAAAAAAAATAATTTTGCACCCATTGTGTGCATTTATGACCTTTGCAGAATATCTGTCTGTCTGTCTCTCTCTCTGTCTCTCTCTCCTTTTCAGTCAGGTGTCTGCTACTACAGTTAGTATCATGTATATCCTACGGTTATTTTTGCTTATCTAGTCATTTATGCCCATTAATACCCCATACCAAGATATCTTCAAAGAGAAAAAACTATAATTCAACAAAAAAAGTCCCGAAAAGCAAAGAAATGCCATTGATCTCAAATTTGAAGATGAAGATTGTAGGTTCAATTTAATAATTTAAATTGTATTGTAGTTTCAATTTAAAGATTAAGATTATAGGTGACTATTATAGCATGAGAAGATCTGGCCATTCCACTGTCTCCACTATTTTGAAGGATAAAGAAAGGGTCAGAGAGCTGATGAAAAGATTATCAGGAATGAAAGTAGTTATAACACATACAAGACAGCAAAATGGTCTCATTCAGGAAATGAAAAAACTTTGAATTGAAAATTCAATTCAAAGGCTAGAGGCTAGAGTAACCTTTCTATTGGGGAGAAAAGCTACCAGATTCAGGCTGAAGCTATTTTTGATCTACAAAACGCAGTAACCCCCATGTATCCGGAAACATAAGAAACCACACACTGCCTGTTTATTTACTGATCTACCTGGAAGGCTTGAATGACACAAGTCCTTTTTGAAGATTGATTTATGAATGGTTTTATACACCAAGTTGTGACACCAGCATGAGAAGGTATTAGTGTCAGGGTTCCGTCCAATGCCCTAATAAAATCAGGAGCCTCAAGCCATTGTGCAGAGAAAATCCAGTTGTTTATTAGGAGCGTCATGTCGGCATGACTTAGGTGAAGGCAGCTCTGACTTCACCCAGTCCGTGCCTTGCCTCTGACCCTGTTACCCCCTCCCAAGGTGTGTCACCAGTTACATTTCCCAATGAAGCAATTTCGCGGGTCATAGAAGTCACTCCCTCCAGCTGTTGCAGGTCTCTGTGGAGATGGCCTTGACTTTGGCTGGCTAGGATGTGTTTTGTTTTGACTGAGGTGTGAATTCCTTGGTGCAGCTGCGAGGCTGTGATTTCCCATCCCCCTGCTTATGGCAACTCGGGAGCAGGTCAGGAAAGCTTTGCGAGTTGAAAATTAGCATGATATAAATGCAAGATTTTTGGGAAGAAATGTTGGTCTTGTAAATAAAATTGAAGGATTTGACCAAAACAACACTATGGATGAAATAAGTAAGAAAAATTTTATAGTGATGTAATCTCTTGATTTAGAGGTTGATATTGAAAGATGTGGAAAAAATTATCTCAATTTCAGCATGATAGCCTAGACTGAATGAGAGCTTTCAAACAAAGATTTAATTGAAAAAAGAATTGGTGTTGATCCAAATGTAGAATGTTGTGGAAGGTACACCAGGAAATAGATGAAATCTTAATGTCAATTGTTAAATATATGAAGACAAAAGAAAAAAAACCAGGCAAATCAAATTAGTGGGTTTTTTTTAAAGAAAATTACTCCTTCCTCAACTCCACTTCCTTCCTTATCACCCTCCCTATCCACAAGAATGGAACACCCAGACAATCCATAGCTATCAACCAGCTATGCTAGATAAACAGTAAAAAAAAGGATATTTGAAAAGATTTATATCCAATTAATGTTTATAGGTAATGTAAATGTAAAATTATATATTACAAACTATTCTAAAAATACGAGTTCCAGGTATACTTGTAAGAGAAGAAACAGACATCTTGCGATCTCCGGAACTCAAATTATATTTATTATACTTACTAAGCTTTCATCAGCCTCTGCTGACATCGTCAGAGTATTAAGCTACCATTATAGAGATCTATGATATGACATAGATCTCTGTAATGGTAGCTTACTCCTCTGACAATGTCAGCAGAAGCTGACAAAAGCTTAGTAAGTATAATAAATATAATTTTAGTTCCGGAGATCACAAGATGTCAGTTTCTTCTCTTACAAAATTGTATGTATGTATGTATGCATGTATGTATGTATGCAAATGGATGCGGTGGCTCAGTGGCTAAGATGCTGAGCTTGTCGATCAGCAGGTGGGCAGTTCAGCAGTTCAAATCTCTTGTGCCGCGTAACGGAGTGAGCTCCTGTACTTGTCCCAGCTTCTGCCAACTTAGCAGTTTGAAAGCATGTAAAAATGCAAGTAGAAGAATAGGGACGACTTTGGTGGGAAGATAACAGTGTTCCATGCGTCTTCAGCATTTAGTAATGCCAGCCACATGGAGATATCTTTGGAAAGCGCTGGCTCTTCAGCTTTGTAACAGAAATGAGCACTGCCCCCTAGAGCCAGAAACAACTAGCACGTACGTGCAAGGGGAAGCTTTACCTTTATGTATGTATACACGCACGCACACACACACACACATTTAGTGACTGTGTCAGGGTTCCGATTATTGCCCTAATTAAATCATGAGCCTGAGCCAAGTTTCAAAAGAATCAAAAAGATTTATTAGGAGCAACATGTCGGCATTGACCTGTATGAAGCCAACTCTGACACACGTGATTTACATGACCACCTGTTTCCCCCCTTCCCCCTGGGTGTGTCATAAACAGATTCTCCAACGAAGCATGTTCATGGGCTGGGTGTCATCAATCAAATTTTCCAATGAAGGATTTTCATAGACAGAAGATCCAGTAGCCTAGCTACAATCTTTGTAAGATAAGCGTGGAATGTAATTCTATATGTCAGAAATTTGCAATTTCCCAGGGAAAAAATGTTTATAAAAATTGCAGACCTCTCATATTTCTTCATGTTACTATATCGTTGAGCGGGTTTATTTTTGGTGACTACTTTAAGGCTTCCATTTATGTTTTGGGAGAGGGACATAAATATTTAAATAAATAAAAAATAAGATTGCTGCAAGGGTCAAGAAGTATATCATAATCCGTTGCTATTCTCTAAATATACCCAGCAAACAGACATTTATTACCCACCACCTAATTCATGATTATAAATTTATTTATTAGTTAATTCAGTTTATATTTCACTAAGCCCCCTATCAATCCAAAGTGGTTTACAAGTAATCCATGAGCTAGGAAAATATTATGATAGAAATAAAAACATGTCAGTTAGTAGTAATTCTGGTTCCATGAACTGTTAAAGGCAAATTGGTTACTGGTTGAGAATGAAACTTCATCCTGCATACCAGCTAAGGAATACTTTCTTAACAAAATGTCACTTTGAACAGACTAATAATAGTTTAGCTTGTTATCATAGGATTTGTTAATACTTAAGTATTCCTCTAATTCTAACATTTATGTAACATAGACCTAAAAATATGTTCTACTTTTAAAGTAATACAGCAGTTTGCTATACAAATAAGGCTATTTTATTTTCATTCCACTGTACCTTAAGCTGATACTATTCTTATGAACTATGACCTGTATCCATCATCATTTCCTTCTTTTCCATTTTTATCTCCTCCCCTCCCTGCCATCCAACCAATGTATCTTGTAATCTTAGGACTAGGTATCATTGTCACAACTGATTCTGAGGTATGTGTAAAATCCTTCAGTGCATACATCTACTGACAAACAATTCCATCTTCCTGTAGAAAAAAAAAACAACTCTCTGAAAGCTAAGCCCCAAGGATGCAGGTGCACCAACAAGCCTTTCACACAGGAAATAATTATTTTAGCACTCTTAGAAAGTGCTTCTGTTACTTGGACAGTCTGATCTAATGAGTTTCCTGCTGACCTACAAGATAATTTAGTACTGATCTAAATACCTTTGCCAGTTCATAAGTATAATGAAGCAGGCTATCTATAGTTCTGTAAATCCGTAACTGCCCAGTTTTAAACTTAAATGTGGCAGATGTCTATTCAACTGGTTGGTTGGTTGGTTGTGATTGATTTTTATTCTATCAAGCAGGTTTGGGTAGTATATTAGGAATCCTTTAAACTCATGGAAGAAATTGAAATCACAGAGCCATTTACAAGTTACATTGTGTGTGTGTGTGTGTGTGTGTGTGTGTGTGTGTGTGAGAGAGAGAGAGAGAGAGAGAGAGAGAGAGAGAGAGAAATGTTTGTCCTATTTTGTAAAGTCCATATCTCAGACAACTTCACTTGGCTGCACTATTTTCACGCTTATTGTTGATGTTAGTAAGCCATATTGATAAATTATAATTTGAATTGTGACTCTTGTCCTTAATTTATTAAAAATCTTTCAGAGTCATTGCTGAATAGGTGTTTCCCAAAGTTATGTACAATAGTCCAATATTTTTTCCTAATGTTAATAGTCCAATATGAGAAAAATGGAAGTAATCTTGCAGCTTTAGGAGAACTTTATTTTTTAAAAGAAATGTTATCAAAAGAAAAGAATATATGTAGTTTGGGATTGAACTACAAAGTTCTTGGTGCTCTGATATTGATTGTTTGCTTGCAGATGTTTCATTACCCAATGAGG